TGTGGGGAAGAGGGCGGCTCCCGCCGCGGCGGGGAAACACGAGCACCAACTCCAGCAGCACCGCGAGCCCGAGACGCACCCCGCCGAAGGCTGCAGTACCGCGAGTACCACTCACGTAGCTGCTGCGAAGAGGGAGCTCCTCCAGGCGTCTCACAGTCAGCTGCAGTACCCCCAGACTCAGCAACTCCAGGCTCAGCACCCCCAGACTCAGTAACCCCAGGCTCAGCACCCCCAGACTCGGCAACCCCAGGCTCAGCACCCCCAGACTCAGCACCCCCACGCTCAGTACCCCCAGACTCAGCACCCCCAGGTTCCGCACGCTCAGGCTCCGCACGCTCAGGCTCAGAACCCCTAGCCGGACGCGAGTCGACAGCTACCTCGGCAGGCTCAACTGGGTCTACCTGGGAGACACTTGAAGGAGCGGCACCCTGAGGGGGGAGGGGGTCTACCACTGCAGCACCTGGCGCGAGGAAGAGAGGCGGGGGAGGGAGCGGGGCAGTGCGGTAGGGGAAGAAGCGGTAGAAGGGCACGGACTCGTCAAAAGTGACGTCCTGAGAGGGGAAGACGCGGTGCGAGGCGGGGTGGTAAAACTGCCAGCCAGACGCATCCGGGACAAAGCCAAGAAAGACACACGGAGCAGTGCGGGAGGAGAGCTTGTCCGCAGACGTGTCGCGAACAAAATCTCGGGATCCCCAGACACGGAAGCGTGACGCATCGCCAACCTCCCCCGTCCACAGCAGTGTGGGCGAGGTCTCCGGAGCGGAGACACGGGGCCAGAGGTTGAGCTGATGCGCAGCGTACCGGACCGCAAACGGCCACAGAAAGTGGGGGGCAGCCGCGTGGACTAAGGAGGTACGAGCGACCTCCATGACCAAGCCAATGCGGCGCTCAGCAACCCCATTCTGCTGTGGAGAGGCCGGAAGCGTGAACGACTGACGAATGCCGTGCTCGGCACAGTAGGCTGCCAAGAGGTCGGAGGAGAACTCACCACCTCTGTCAGAGTGCAAGCGCAAGACAGGAAACTCGGAGCGAAAACGCTCTCGCAGCTGAAGACGTGCTCTGCTGATCCAAGGGATCAGAACATCAGGGACTCCACCCTTGGTGCGCAAGGGGAAGACCGTGGTGTAGCGCGAGTAGTCGTCAACGACGATCAAGAAGTACCTCTCGTGGCCCTGACCACGGACGCGGGTTGGGCCCCACACGTCCATGTGGAGCGTCTGCAAAGGAGCAGTCGTCGGGGGGAACGAGGAGGAGTGAGGGGCAGCGCGCTGCCGCCCCTCGACACAGGGAAGACAAGGAGGAGCAAGGGAGGGTGGGAGGGGAGGGAGTACCCGAGGAAGACCAGAGACAAGGTACCGGGCGTGCATGCCCCGAAGGCGCTGCACTGACGGGTGACCAAGTCGATGGTGCCAGAGGACTGTCTTGTGCGCCAGAGAGCGACACGAGCAGGGGGCTGACAGCTGACCTGACGCGGACGCAGACGCCGCTACCTGAAGGGACTCAGTGGTCAGTGTGTACAGGTCCGACCCCGGCTGCCGAGTGAAGGTAGCCAGATGACGGCCCGTCCGAGCACACGTGCAGTGTGTCACGCGCTCGTAGGCAGGGGTGAACTGGTGAACACCCCCATCCTGAAGCGCACAACCCGCCACCAAGTTCGTAGAGAATGAGGGGAGGTGGAGACCTGACAGTGTGCCCGACGGGACAGCAGGACAAGGAAGGACAGTGGAGGAGGTCGCAATGACCGGACCCCCAGAGGGGTCAGCGAGCGAGACAGCGACTGGTCGAGCAAGGGGCTCAAGAGCAGTGCGGTCACGAAAGAAACAGCGCGAAGCGCCTGAGTCTAGAGTGAAGGTGTGCAGTGCCTCAGAGGACTCAGTAGTACCTGGGGTGGCGGACACACAAGCACCTAGAGCAGTAGCCTCACCAGCACCTGGGGCAGCAGACACGCAAGCACCTAGGGCGGCAGCCTCACTCGTGCGGATGCCTGGGTCAGGCGGAACACACAGGTACTGGTCCTCCTCTCCACTAATAGTCAATGCATACATGGCTTTGAGAATAACATCAAAATCAAGAGCATAGATATCGATATCCTTCTTGAGGAGATCAGCCCACTGAGGGAGCTCAGGAGCGTCAGGAAACTGAGCACGCCAAGCGTCATCTAGGCGAGAGAAGCAGCGTTGCGCAGTGTGCGCACTCCCGCACGTCTGTCCCTTGCGGCGACCAGTGCGGATGACGTACGTGCAGCTAAGGCTACCCCCCCCACCCCCGTGCTGTAAGTACCACTCACGAAGCTCCTGGGAGGACTGAGGGTGCTGCTTGCTCTGGCCAGTGCCAGAGCCTCCACGACCACCACCGCCGCCGCCACCACGACCACCACCGCCCCTGCCGCCGCCACGTCCTCCGCCGCCACCACCACCGCCCCCACCCCGGCCACCGCCGCCGCTGCTGCCTCCACCACCCCCACCGCTGCCACTAGCCCCTCCAGCCCCGCCACCGCCCCCACCGCCGCCACCACCCCCACCACCGCCTCCCCCGCCATCACCCCCACCGCCCTTGCCTCCCCTGCCCCTGCCGCTGCGGCGCCCGCTGAGAGCGGACGCAGACCCGACCTGCTCAGCACCAAGGAGGTCGACAGCAGCAGCAGAGGCGACAGAGGGGAGCAGGGGGGAGGGGGAACACCCCTCGAAGAAAGGGGTGCGGGGGTCACCACGAGAGGCACCTACAGCTACAATACTCTTCTCAGCTGCAAGGAGTTCCTTCTCGAGGGTGGCAATGGTGAGCTCAGTGGGGCAGCGGGCTAGGAAGCTGTCCCTGACTGTACGCAGAGTGTCAGGGAGGCGGGTAGCTAGGTGGTAGAGAGTGAGCCAGAGCGGGGGAGGGTTGGAGGCAAGAAACTCAGCAGGCATAGCGGCACGCAAGCGGGCCTCACTAGTGCGGAGGTGCGTGATGAGGTCAGCGACTGTCTGGAAGGCGGACAGGTCAAGGAACAGGTAGGGAAGCGAGAGACGGCCTAGCGCAGCAGAGGCTGGGGAGGAGTAGCGCGCAACTACAGCAGTGTACAGTGCCTGGGCAGTCCTGTGCTGGCCGAAGTGCTCGCGCTCATCTACAGACAGGGAGTTGCGAATAGCGAAGCGAGCGTGGGCGTCACGAGTCTGCCACTGGGAGCGGGTAGTGGCGTCAGCATCAGTAGCAGGGGCAGCAGCTTTGCCTAGTGCATGATCGTACAGCCAGACATCCTCCCTGGCAGTGAGCTGGAGGAACAGGTGCAGATCATCGAGCCAGATCTCAAACTTAATCGGGCGGCCCTCAGTATCGAACGAGAGAACTTTAGGGCTAGCCATAGCTGAAGTAGCAGCAGCAGTAGCAGTAGCAGTAGCAGGAGGAGCAGTTCAGTCCAAACCTGGCCCTGCTGCTCAGGTAAGGAGGGCGCAGCTCGGCTAGGACGGCGCGGCTCGGCTAGGGCGGCGCGGCTCGGCTAGGGCGGCGCGGCTCGGTCGGGTCGCGCGGTTCGGCTCGGGTCGCGCGGTTCAGCTGGGGTCGCGCTGCGCGGCTCGGTCGTAGAGGGGCGAGCGCGGGGGGCCGTTCGAGGCGAGCGCGGGGGAGGGGCCGTACGAGGCGAGCGCCGGGGCCGTTCGGGGCTAGTGCGGGGCCATTCGGGGGCCGTGAGAGGCTAGCGCGGGGCCTTAAGGGGCCGTGAGAGGCTAGCGCGGGGGCCGCAAGGGGCCGTTCGGGGCTAGCGCGGGGCCGTTTGGGGCCGTAGGAGGCTAGCGCGGGGCCGTAAGGGGCCGGGGGAGGCTAGCGCGGGGGCCGCACGGGGCCGTTCGGGGCTAGCACGGGGTCGTAAGGGAGGGGCCGTGAGAGGCCTTAAGGGGCGACGCGAGGGGCCGTGAGGGGCCTTAAAGGGCGACGCGAGGAACGAGGCGCACGAGGGCGCTAGGAAAAGGCAGCGCACTAGGGCGCGGCTAGCGGAAACGGTGGGCCCTAACGTTTCGGTCCTAGGTGAAACCTAGGCTCGTAATACCATGTCAGAATGAGAAACGAGAATGGTGTGACTAACAGGAACAAGAGTATGTCAGAATGAGAAACGAGAATGGTGTGACTAACAGGAACAAGAGTACAAATATGAAACCCTAATCTGGTGTACCCCCTAAGGTGTAACCCACTACAGCCTAGAACCACATAAACATATAATGTTTGACACTACGGACTCATCCGAAGGCAGAGCTGAGAGCGAGTGGCGAGTTGACAGAGGAGTGGCCTAAGGCGAGGAGTACGTGAAGTTGAAGCGCTAAAGGACCTGCTGCACCATATGTGACTGAGTCAAGGTAATGGTGCGCTGTGCTCTGTCCCGGGTGATTTGCAAGCCAAGATAGCTGCGCAATTCACCCACGTCTGTGCACGTGTGTCTCTTCTGCAGCTCGGACTTCACGTGGGCGAGTCCAGCAGTGTCAGCAGTAGCAAAGACCAAGTCGTCGACGTACACGGGGATGTAGAATGGTGCGCAGAATGAGCGACGGGTCAGTAGTAGAAAGAGCAAACCCAAGAGCCGCAAGTGTAGTCCTTAGTGTGTCGTGCCACTCACGGGGCTCCTGGTGGACACCGTAGACTTGCCGCCGGAGGCTCCACAGGGTACCAGGAGGAAACAACGCAGTGAAGCCAAGTGGGCAGCGCAGCCATATCTCCTCGTGCACGCTGCCCTGTACGAAAGCAATGCTGAAGTCAAGAGAGTGAAGCTCGTAGTCACGCTCAGCAGCGAAGAGCAGCAGTATCCGAAGAGTGGTCATCTTCAGGGTCGGGGAGAAGGTCTGGAAGAAGTCAACTCCCTCTTGCTGACTGAAGCCTCGAGCAACGTAAGGTGCCTTGAAGACAGGCGAAGAACCCGGCGGCCACTTCACCGTGAAAATCCACATGCCACTGAGGATGTTCGCCCCAAGAGAGGGAACCTCATCGACGAAAGTGCCTTTGGACTTCTAGGATGCCATCTCTGCGTCCATGGTTGACTACCACTGAGAGGAGTAGGGACGCTCTATCGCCTCTGCGTAAGAGCGCGGGGTCGGGATGTCTGGTGCATCCGGGTCTCCCTCAGGTGCAATCAGCATGGACACAAGATGAGGTACAGTGGCTGCAAAGCACTCAAAGTCCTCCTGCTTGTCCTCAAAGACGTCTATGCTAAGAGCACACTCACCCCCGACGAATGGAGGACAGACAGACTCAGACTCAGCAACATGACTAGCGCAGCAGTCGAGACAACAGTGAGCAGCAAATTCGACAAGCTCAGCAACTAAGGAAGACGCAGCAGAGGACTCAAAGAAAGGGTAAGTGACAGCACTGGCCAGTAGACGCGTGACAGTAGGACTAGCAGCACGAAGGGAGTCAGACTTTGGGTGAGAAAGGGCAGGAAGAGAGGACCCAGGAGGAGACGGTAGAGGGACACGCTCTGGAGCAGTGGAAGGGCGCAGAGCCATCAGGTGCGTGCCAGGGACAGGAGGAGGACGCTGACGCGAACCACGAGGACTAGTGCTAGCAGCACGAACAGGCGACGCAGGACGAGACGCAGGCTCACGACACTCAGTAAGACCTCCGGTCGGAACAATGTAAGGAGAAGGAGCAGTCAGTGGGGAGGCGAGCAGTAACTTTCACTGCGACTGGACAGGCGGTGGACACTCTAAGGAAGGAGCAGGACCAATAGAAGGCGAAAGACCAAGAACCTGCTGAAGGAGCGGAACGTAGTACGGCCACGGCCGCGTAGCGCCTCCAGAACCAGCAGGGTCAGAACCAGCACCCCCAGTGGCAGCTCCAACTCAAGCAGTACCACCATCTCCAGCAGCACCTCCAACAGCACCAGAATCGCCAACTTCAGCACCCACAAGAGCACCGGCTTTAGCAGCACCTCCAGCTCCAGCATTCCCAGCAGCTCCAGCTCGAGCAAGACCACCAGAAGCCCCAGCAGCGCTAGCAGCTCCAACTCTAGTACCTCCAGCAGCACCTGCCCCAGCAGCACCGCCAGCCCTAGCACCTCCAGCAGCTCCGGCTCCAGCAGCACCACCAGGCCCAGCAGCTCCAGTACCTCCAGTACGAGCACCTCCACGACCAGTGGCTCTAGAACCCCCAGCAGCTCCAGCAGCGACAGGACCTTTAGCAGCAGCAGGGCCTCCAGCGCACGTAGAAACACCAGCTCCAGCAGCACGGCTCCAGCGCCAAGCACACCAATCGCCGCCGGGACTAAGCACCCGAAGGACCTCCAAGCTCAGCACTGCCAGACTCCACACAAGCAGGCCCAGCACCCTAAGGCTCCGCAACCCCAGACTCAGCAACCCCAAGCTCAGCACACCCACACTCAGCACCCCCTGACTCAGCACCCCCAGGCTCCGCACGCTCAAGCTCAGCACCCCCAGACCCGGCACCCGCAGGCTCAGCACCCCTAGCAGCACCATAGTCAATAGCTGCCTCGACAGGCTCGACTACGTCTACCTGGGACACACCAGAGGGGGCACGACCCTAAGGGGGGAGGGGGCCTACTGGGGGAGGAACTGGCGCGAGGAAGAGCGGCCGGGGGGGGGAGGGGGGCAGTGCGGTAGGGGAAGAGACGGTAGTAAGGAACCGACTCATCAAACGTGACGTCCTGAGAGGACACAACACGACGTGAGGTGGGATGGTAAAACTGCCAACCAGGCGCGTCAGGGGGGAATCCAAGGAAAACGCAGTGAACAGCACGGGGGGACAGCTTGTCCGCAGACAAGTCGCGGACGAAAGCTCTAGATCCCCAGACACGGAACACAGACCCATCGCCAACCTTCCCCGTCCACCGCAGACTAGGTGTGGTCTCCGGCATGGAGACCCGGGGCAGGAGGTTGAGCTGATGCGCCGCGTACTCAACCGCGAACGGCCACAGAAAATGGGGAGCAGCCGCATGGATCATGAACGTATGAGCGACATTCGTGACCATGCCAATGCGGCGCTCAGCAATCCCATTTTTTTGCAGAGAGGCCGGAAGCGTGAACGTCTGGCGGATGCCCTCGGCACAACAGAAGGCTCGCAAAAGGTCGGAGCAAAACTCTCCACCTTTGTCGGAGTGCAGACGCAGAACAGGAAGGTCTGAGCCGAAACTCTCGCTAAGCTGACGACGGGCAGCGCGTATCCAGTCTTACAGCACCTCAGTGACCTCACCCTTGCGGCGCAAGGGGAAGAATGTGGTGTAACGCGAGTACTCGTCAACGACCAGCATAAAGTAGCGCTCGTGACCTTGGCCATGGACGCGGGCTGGGCCCCACACGTCCATGTGAAGCGTCTGCAAGGGAGCCTCCGTCAGAGGGAACTCGGAGGAGTGAGGAGCGGCGCGCTGCCGTCCCTCAACGCAAGGAACGCAGATAGGGGCAGGCCCCGGGGGAAGGGGAGGGAGAGACCGGGGAAGACCAGTGGCAGGGACACGGGAGGCCATGCCTTGGAGACGAGGCAGGGAGGGGTGACCAAGGCGGTGGTGCCAGAGGAGAATCTTGTGAGACAGGAGGCGACACGAGCAGGGGGCAGTCTCAGGACGAGACTTGGACGCTGCAGCAAACACCTGACCCGACGCAGCTACCTGACCAGACTCAGCAACCGCAGGAGACACAGTACTCAGTGTGTACAGGCTCGACCCAGGCTGACGGGTGAACGTGGCCAGGTGCCGGCCCGTCTGAGTACACGAACAGTGGGTCACCCGCTGACCTCCAGGAGTGAACTGGTCAGCCCACGCGTCCTGAAGGTCAGCTCCACTCACCGAGTTCGTGGAGAACGAGGGGAGGTGGAGGCCAGACAGAGAGCCAGACGGGACTGCCGGACGCGGCAGAGCCGTGGAGGAGTGTGCAAGGACCGGACCCCCAGAGGGGTCAGCCAGAGAGACTGCCACTGGCCGCCTGAGCGGCGTGAGTGTGGTGCAATCGCGATAGAAGGAGCGGCAAGCTCGTGAGTCAAGCGTGAAGGTGTGCAAGGCCGCAGCAGGCGTAGTACCAGAGCAGACTCACCAGCACCTGGAGCAGTGGACTCACTAGCGCCTAGAGCAGCAGCCTCACCAGCACCTAGAGCAGCAGACTCTATACCTGGGGCAGGCGGCACACACAGGTGACAGGCACCCTCAGCATTAGTAGGCAATGCATACATGGCAGTGAGGATAGTTCATAGTGAAGAGCAAAGATATCTACCCTCTGCCTAAGCAGCTCCAGCAAGGAGGGGAGCTCAGCGTCGTCCCCAAACTCTGTACGCCAGGCGTCACTCAGACTGGCGAAGCAGCGCGACTCTGTGTGACCAATCGTCCCGCAAGGCTGACCAGCCCGAGCACCAGTGCGAATGACGTACGGGCAGCGAGCAGTACTCCGTGACCCTGTACTCTGGGTGTACCACTCACGAAGCTGCTGGGGCGAAAGGACCGCGAGCGGACGCTGCTGCAGCTGCACCTCGTCACTACAAGAAGCTCCCGAACGACCCGCCCTAGGGGGACTCCCACCACGACCACCCCTACAACCCCAACTAGCGTAACACTCACGAAGCTGCTGGGGCGTGAGGGACTGACGTGGACGTCGCTGGAGCTGCATCCGGCCGCCAGGAGCAGCAGTAGCAGTAGTAGCAGTAGCAGCAGCAGTAGCAGCAGCAACAGCAGTAGCAGCACGGGCAGGGCGTGTGGCTCAGTAGAGCAGGGCTGCTCAGCCCGGCAGCACGACATGGCTCGACCGGGCGGCTCGGCGCCGCTGAGCGGCTCGGCTCAGCTTGGCGGTGCGGCTCGGCTGGCAGGCAGGCGAGGTAGGCAGGCTAGCGCGGCAGCGCGCTAGTAAGGCATGCGCGCGGGAAGCGGGGGTATGGCAAGTGCTCACCAGTGGCGGGAAGGGCAGTAGCTCGTCGGGCGAGCAGGGTAGGCGCACAACGGCGGCGACGGCGGGGTCGCGACAGCTGCAGGGCGGGGCCGCGACAGCGGCAGGGAGAGGGGGGGGGCAACACGGCAGCAGCCGCAGGGCGGGGCCGCGACTGCGGCAGGGGGCTCCGCGGCAGCTGCTGCAGGGCGGGGCCGGATGGCGGCTGTGAAATTGAACGAGGATGAAAAGACTAGGGAAAGTTGGGTACAAGTACAAACCCTAGAAAGCTGTACCCCATATGTGCTACCCCACTATAGCCTACAGCAACTAAGTCATATAAATCTGACACACCCCCATAGGCAACGTGGGGGAGGACAAGGGGTCACAAGACCAGTCAAGCAAAGCAAAGCAAACTCAGGGTGGATCACAACGTCACCACACATTCCGAGCACAAGTTCAAGGCCACAAGGCCAGTTCACATTCAGGATTACATATATATATAAGGCTAAAAAGGCAAGAGCAGGTGTATATATATATGTAACAGTACAAACAAGGTCAAGGGGTGAGCAAGTGAGGCAAGGTAGGCACAAGACCGAGCTAAGTACACAAACGCTGATGATCACAAGGCGCAAGTGCCTTGGTGAAGATATCAGCAGTGTTGGCCTCAGAGGCCACGTACGCAAGGCGCAGCTGACCACACTACTGTAGCTCACGAGCAAGGAAGTAGCGAAGAGCAATGTGCTTCGTTCTGTGCTCCAGTCTCTGCTCGCGACACAAGGCCAGCATGGCCTTGTTGTCTACGTACAGCACTGGAGGAGAACGAGGCGGCTCTCCGAGGTCAGTCAGCAGGTAGGTGAGCCAGCGAAGCTCCTGTGCAACCATGGCCCCTGCGTAGATCTCAGCCTCACAACTGGAGCCGAGAACAGAAGACGAGCGGGTAGCCCGCCACGAAACTGAGCCGGAACCAAGGCTGAAGGTGTAACCCTGTGACGACCGCTACGTAGCCAAGTCGTCAGCCCAAGAAGCGTCTGCGTGCCCAGTGAGGACCACAGGACTCTGCCCTCCAAGCACAAGCCAAATGGCCGACGTACTACACAAGTAGCGCAACACCCTCTTCGCTGAAGCCATGTGCTCCGGTCTGTATCTCCCAGGAGCAACATAGCGTGCGAGAATGCTAAGAGGGTATGCAAGGTCAGGTCGTGTGCAGGTCATCAGGTACATGAGGCAGCCAACAAGCTCTGGGTACGGGCCACTCGACTCTACGGACTCATCCGAAGGCAGAGATGAGAGCGAGTGGCGAGTAGGCAGAGGAGTGGCCTGAGGCGAGGAGTACGTGAAGCGGAAGCGCTGAAGGATCTGCTGCACCATGTGTGACTGAGTCAGGGTAATGGTGCGGCGTGCTCTATCCCGGGTGATCTGCGAGCCAAGATAGCTGCGCAGTTCACCAAGATCTGTGCACGTGTGTCTCTTCTGCAGCTCGGACTTCACGTGGGCGAGTCCAGCACTGTCAGCTGTGGCAATGACCAAGTCATTGACGTACACGAGGATGTAGAACGGCGGCAAAGAAGTGTCGGTGCAAACCCAAGAGCCGCAAGCGTAGTCCTCAGTGTGTCGTGCCACTCATGTGGTGCCTGGCGGAGACCGTAGACTCGCCGCCGGAGGCTCCACTAGGTGCCAGGAGGAAAAGTCCGAGTGAAGCCAAGTGGGCGGCGCAGCCAGATCTCCTTGTGCAGGCTGCCCTGCAAGAAAGCAGTGCAAAAGTCAAGAAAGTGTAGCTCGTAGTCACGGTGAGCAGCAACGTGCAGCAGTATCCGAAGAGTGGTCATTTTCAGGGTGGGAGAGAAGGTCTGAAAGTAATCAACTCCCTGCCGCTGACTGAAGCCACGAGCCACGTAACGCGCCTTGAAGACAGGCTGAGAACCCGGCGGTCGCTTCACCCTGAAAATCCACATGCCACTGACGATGTTCGCCCCAGGCGGTGGAACCTTGTCAGCGTAGGTGCCTGTGGACTTCCAGGAAGCCATCTCTGCGTCCATGGCTGCCTGTCATTGAGAGGAGCAGGGACCCTCTATCGCCTCCGCGTAAGAGCGCGGAGTCGGGATGTCAAGTGCATCCGGGTCTCTCTCAGGGGTAAGCAGTACGGACATGAGATGAGGTGAAGCACCAGCCAAACACTGGAACTCCTCCTGCCTGTCCTCAAAGACGTCCCTGCCAAGGGCACACTCACCCCCGACGGACGGAGGATAGACAGAATCAGACGCAAAAACAAGACTAGCAGCGTAGTCTAGACGACAGCGAGCAGCAAAGTCGACGAGCTCAGCAACTAGGGCAGACGCAGCAGTGGACTCAAAGGAAGGGTCGGTGACAACAGTAGCAAGGAGACGCGTGACAGTCGGACTGGCAGCACGAAGGGAGTCCAACTCTGGGTCAGCAAGAGCTGGAAGAGAGGACTCAGGAGGAGAAGGCAAAGGGGCACGCAGAGGAGCAGTGGACGGACAGAGAGACATCCGGTGCGTGCCGGGCACAGGGGGATGATGCGGACGCGAACCACGACCACTAGCGCGAGCAGCACGGACAGGCGACGCAGGACGAGACGCAGGCTCATGACGCTCAGCAAGACGTCCAGTAGGACCAGTGAAGGGAGAAGGAGCAGGCAGTGGGGAGGCCGGCTGTATGAACTGTGACGGGATAGGATGTGGACACTCTAAGGGAGGAGGAGGACCAGTAGAAGGCGGGAGACCAAGAACCTGCTCAAGGAGCGGAATGAAGTACGGCCGAGGCCGCGCAGCGACTCCAGACACAGCAGGGACAGCTCCAGCACCCCCAGCAGCTCGAGTAGCTTCAGGACCTCCAACAGCACCAGTAGTACCCCCAGCAGGACCGCCTCCAGTACCGATAGCGCCAACACCCTCAGCAGCTCCAGCTCTAGTCGGACCACGAGAAGAAGCAGTGGCTCCAACTCCAGTAGTACCCGCAGGCCCAGCAGCTCCAGTACTCCCAGTACGAACACCTCCAAGACCCGTGGCACCAGCACCCTCCGTAGTCGAAGAACCTCAAGCTCCAGAAGCACGCCTCCAGCGCCAGGCAAACCACTCACGCACATCCTATGGAGAGAGTGGCTCCCGTCGAGACGGAGCACCCGGAGAACCTCCAGGCCCAGCACCGCCAAACGCCACACGAGCAGGCCCAGCTCCCTCAGGCTCCGCACCCCCAGGCTCAGCACCTCCAGGCGTAGCATCCCCAGGCTCAGCACCCCCACTCGTAGCACCCCCTGGCTCAGCACCCCCACACTCAGCACCCCTTGGCTCAGCACCCCCGGTCATAGCACCCCCAGACTCAGCACCCCCAGACTCAACACCCCCAGACTCAGCACCCCTAGACTCAGCACCCCCAGACTCAGCATCCCCAGGCTCAGTACCCCCAGGCGTAGCACCCACACGCTCAGCATCCCCAAAGTCAGCACCCCCAGTCTCAGCACCCTTAGCAGCACCAGAGTCACCTGCGACCTCCACAGGCTCGACTGCGTCTACCTGGGACACACCTGAAGGGGCAGGACCTTGAGAGGGAAGGGGGTCTACTGGGGGGGGACCTGACACAAGGAAGAGCAATGGCGGGGGGAGGGACAGAGTGCGGTAGGGGAAGAGACAGTAGTAGGGGACCGACTCATCAAACGTGACGTCCTGGGAGGACAGAACACTATGAGAGGTGGGGTGGTAGAATTGCCACCCTGGTGCGTCAGGGGGGAAGCCAGGGAAGACGCAGGGAGCAGCACGAGGGGACAGCTTGTCCGCAGACAAGCCACGGACAAACGCCCGAGATCCCTAGACACGGAACGCAGACGCATCGCCAACCTTCCCCATCCACAGCAAAGCTGGGGAGGTCTCCGGCATGGAGACCCTGGGCTGAAGGTTGATCTCATGCGCCGCGTACCGAACCCCAAACGGCCACAGAAAACGGGGGGCAGCCGCATGCATCATGGACGTACGAGCGACGTCCATGACCATGCCAATGGGCGCTCAGCAATCCCATTTTGCTATGGAGATTCCGGAAGCGTGAAGGTCTGGCGGATGCCTCGTGCACGACAGTAGGCTCGCAGAAGGCCAGAGGAGAACTCTCCGCCTCTGTCAGAGTGCAGATGCAGAACAGGAAAGTTCGAGCCGAAACTCTTCCTAAGCTGAAGACGAACTGCGCGGATCCTGTCGATCAACACCTCAGTGACATCACCCCGAGTGAAGGGTGAAGGTGTGGGAGGCCGACGCCAACGCAGTACCTGAGAGAGCAGACTCACCAGCACTTGAGGAAGCAGACACACTA